GAATGGAGCCCTGTGCAAGGGTAGTTTCCCACAGGGCTTCTGTGTGCACGGCGGCACTCACGGATCACTGACCTGAACATCTGACTCAGATGGTCACGTGTGGCAAGGGGCACTGCCCCCACCATGAATCCCAAAGGACTGTGGCAACCCCAAGCTCACCCGTGTAATAGTCCTGACTGCAGCTGCAGTGTTATTCTTTGCTAGAACATGATAGACTCAGAAAGAACCCCTGTAGCTGTCGATTTTGAGAACAAGTTCTTTCTAACCTAGTCAGGAAATGAAGTCAAAATCATTTTTCTTTCGAATGGAGCAACCAATAACATCCACTCACACTCCACCTCCTATCCTCTGTTATAACAGAATCTGGACCAGCTGGAATCCCACAGAACACTACGTGGATTAATTTCAGTAGTGATCCGCATGGATTGGGAAGGTTAAACAAAAGAAGGAAAGTTCCTGGCTTTACAAGATTCATGCACTCGACAAGAGGACAGATACATCATACAAAAGATTTGTGGACAAACCAAAGCTTGTGCACTAACTCACTGCATATTTCCTGGAAATGCTGATCTGCCAAAGATCACAACTGCGTGATTTGGATTTGAAAGCTACAAACCATATGAGAATCACTTCTTTAAAATATGATACTTAAAACTAAGCAAGAAGTTGAAATCATTTCATAGAGCACTTATATATAAACTCTCTCATATAACTCAAAGTCTATGGTACTCATTTTGATTATAAAACTTTATCCAAAGAAAAAAGGAGACAGGATAAGTCATATTACATAAAAAATTTTGACCTTTTATGCAACTTCATCCTCACAAAATTAAAAGGATAATTTGTCAATAAATAGTTCCATTTCTTATTGATTAAAAACAAATTCCAGGAAACAAGCGCATATTCTATGAGAAAGAAGATGCTAACAAATGATAAAATGACAAGATTGATCAATATAAAAAAGTCTGGGGACTTGTCCAGCTTTTACATTAAGAAAATCCCCTGAGGAATTTGAAGGCAGAGTATATATCATTCTTTATGTTCCATCATTTTATAACATATATTTGACTGATGCTTTGTATTAAGTGCTCTGAGATTGTATAATAAAGCTGGACAAATTTTATTACCACATTTTATGCAATAAATGTGTATTTTTGTGCTTGCAGAAACTGCTAACTTTTGAAGTTCTTTGACTTTTAAGGCACTGATAATAGAATACATGAAGTCTATGATGTCTGTTAAACAAAACAGCATTCTGCAGAATTTAAAAATATAAAAAAGAACCTTACTTTAAATCACCATAGAGGTCGTCTTCATCGGGCACAGAAAGACCACAGTATCTCTGTACATTCAAGACTTGAAGCTTATAACAGGCCATTTCTTATGGAGATTTCCAAAGGGTCATCACATAAGGCACCACCAGGGCTACTATGTCTTCCTACCATCTTTGTTTCAGATGTTCCTCAGTCAGAGATAGTCATTATCCCTGAGCCAGTTCAGAGAAGGCTAAATTTCTTTTCAAATGGTGCAAGCTGATCTAAAGTGAGGAAGTTGATATTCACACAATCCCATCCAGGAAAATGTCCAGTCTAAGGGTTGACTCACTTAAGATAAAGAGGTAAACAAAAGGATTTGTGAAGAAGCATTTATCACAGAATCAGGGCAAAATAGATGCACCCATCACAATCTCCCTCTTTGTTTTACCTTTAAGAGTCAAATTATGAATCCTAACTTAAGAAGAACTTTCTTGTTTTTCAACTTCCTCCTCCACTTTTTGTATAGCTGTGGATTAAACCCAGGGTCTTATGCACAACAGGCAAGCACTCTACTCTGAGCGACATCCTCCGCTCCCCAAATTCTGACTGTTGTACACATAAAGGTGTTGTCGCAGTACATATGATTGCGTTTATTGTCCTCTGTAGTTATTGTCTTCTTTATTAAGATGTCACATAATTCAAATTTTACTCTTTTACAGTATACATGTTAATGTTTTAGTATATATACAAAGTTATGCAATCATCCCTAATATCTAATTACATGTTTTGCCGCCCCTCCAAAAAGAAATCCCAAATCCATTAGATTTCACTCTGCATTCTTCTTTCCTTCTAGCCCTTGCTAACCACGAATCTACTTGCTTGCATGGATTTACCTATCCTGGCCACTTTACATAAATAGAACCATGCAACGTTTTCTCTCTGGTGCTTAGCACATTTGTGTCCCCTAATGTTTTCAGGGATTATCCTATTCCAGTGTTGGAGAACTTCATGCCTTTATCATTGAATAATAGACAATTATACTTATTTTCCACGTTTTAAAACATTCATTTGTTGATGGACATCTGAGCTTGTTTCTACTCTTTGACTGTTATGAATAACGCTGCTACAAATGTTCATATTTCACTACTTAAGTGGACCAATGATTTCAGTTTCCTTGGGTGCACACTTAGGAGCAGAATTACTGGGTCGCATGGTAACTCCTTTTTGAACATTTGGATAACTGTCAGACTGTCTTGCATTTTCCGTTCCCACTGACAGTGTAATTTCCTCCATTTGTCTCGTCCACACACTTCTTGAGGACAGGAACCTAGCTTGGGCTCTATGGCATATCCAGAGCCTGGCTGGCATGGTGCCTAATGCAGGATGGTTTTCTATAAGTATTTGTGAATAATTGAATAATGGATTTTTTTTTTTGCCTTGTGAGACCTCCTTTCATCAAAATACCTCCTCCAAATCTCCTTAACTTTCATCTCTCCGGACTGTGGAGCTCTGCTGTAAGTAAAATACTTCTGGATACCAGCACTTCTTAAAATGCATGTTCTGATTGTTGGACTAGAAGACTGATCTAATTGGATTTCTCATCTGCATGTTACAGATGTTAATCCAAGATAGTATGATAGCAGAATCAAGGGTTTCTGAGTTAGTAGCTGTTCGCTCAAAGTTGGTTGTTCAAACATTATTTCCAAAGTTACCCTCCCACAAATATAAGCGCTCATCACAGTTGGCTCTAGCGCGCCCTCTGCTGGCCCTGCCATCAGCAACGCTAGTATGATCCCCATGGGGAAGAAAGCACAGTGGCTCCCACATGGGGCAAGAGGCAGCATATGGGACCCATCCTATTACAAAGGCAGCCAGAGAAGATCCGCAGATGAAAGGGTTCTCCTCCGTCCTAGGAGCTCGGGTGGGGATTAGCCTCCCATGACTGGCACTCAAGTAGCCTGATGACTTCCAGCTCTGGCCATTTAAAAAGATCATTGCATAAAAGAAATACTCACTTTGATCCTCGAACACAAAATGGACATGTGACAAGAACGGAACTTACAGCTATAGCTCCTTTTGCTCTTGTTATGCAACCAACTCCCCTTGATATGAAGCAGGTTATATGTCTCCTACGATCACATAGGAATGAACATAAATTCCATGGAAAAACTTCACAAGCATCTTTGCACTTTGGCTCCTGACCAGTAGATGTGAATTCATTCTCACAGGAAGCCATGACTCCCTTTGATGTTTTATATGTGACACATACCACTGTACTCATACTATTTGCTTCTTTTCAAACTTTTGCTTCTTTTCAAACTTTTTTTCAAACTTTCAAACATAGGCACTCAGAAGGAGTACCTATGTACAATAAATTATTGAACTTTTATATCATTACCTATGAGGAGTAGAATGCTTTTTGAAGGATGTCCTGTCCCTAATCCCCAGAACCTGGGATTATATAACACTACACACCTACAGGGACTCTGCAGATGCAATGGAGGTGATAGGCCTAGAAACAGAGACAATCCTGGATTATATAGGTGGGCTCAGGGTCATCACAGAAGCGGCTACAGGTGCTGTCACTGGACAAGTTGGATACATTTCAAGGATGAGAGGGTCCTGACCTACTGTTGCTGGAGGAGCAGAGGAGACAGCATGAAAAGCAAGTAGCCTCTAGGAATGAAGACCAACCTCCAAATGGCAGCTGATCAGAAAATGAGGACCTTGCTCCTCCAGTCACAAGGACCCTAATCAGGCTAAGACTCTCAGTGGGAGAGGAAGCAGACTGAGCCTGGAAGCCTCCAAACAGGATTCCAGTCCCGAGGTGTACTGAGCAGAGGACTCGGCCGAGCCACACGGTATGCACAGAACCGTGAATAAACATAAGCGTGCTGTGTTACGTCGCTAACTTGGTGGGAATTGCTGCGAAAGCAATAGAAAATACATGTATCCCCACATGCCAGTATGTTCAAGTCTAATCTTCTATGACTGAAACACAGTGATCCCTAGAATGGTCATTTAAACTTGTACACACCCAGGACCAAGTCACATCTTGCTACCAAATGTTATTATTAATACTGAGCTCATGGGAAATTGCTTGTTATAATTACTGGGTACTATAAAGATGTTATGTAAGAACTGTATATGGATACCTACATATTTATCCTCTCCATTATACACAACTTTGCAGAATTACACAAAGGATTACTTTGCCAGGTCATTTCAAAATTGTCTTCCTATTTGGTGCAGTTTGCTTTAGGAATACATCCCTTTCATTATATAGGTAATATATTTTATTAGATTCATATTTTATATAACCTAATATTAGCCACATTAACAAAGGCCAGTGGTTCAGTTAAATGAATCAACATTTAGACAGCTATGAATGACACATAAATCATTTTGGAAGCCTCAAAAATACAAACTCTAAGACAACAGTCACTCCATTCTTCTAGTATGTAAATGCACACAATGGGTAATATTAGTTCCTCTTACAGTAGTATGATACCATATTTTGCTATTTATTTATATTTCTTAAATTAGCAGCTCAAAGTTGCATGTGGCTTTACTGCAAGTACCCTGCATTTCTTCTCACTCCTCACCTGTTGAACACATGCTTCAGGACATTCCAAGTTTTATCTGCTCCAGCCAATGTTTCTAAATTACAATAAGGCCAAAATATTGATTTTTCTAGAGGTTCTAGAATATAGCAAAATCTGGATTTGGAGCATAGAGACTTACTTTTTCTGAGTTCTTTCAGCCAGTCTTGCAATCTCTATAGCTGCCTTTCTTGCTTCGAAATCTTCCCTTTTCAGAATCTCTCCAGTCCCCCGGTAGCCTAGCTCCACCAACTGGCGGGCCAAGCTTTCATCCTAAGAGGAAAAACCAATCAGTAGATGCTTTGGGAAGTTAGATATATTCTCCAGTGTACACTAAGCAATTCATTTAAATGACAAATTCTAAAATGTGTTATTTTAAAGTGATACAAGAACTATTGGACATGGAAACATGAAAAACTATCGTTAACAATATGTTTATCCACATTTGACTTGTTCTTCCACATACCATAGCTATAAGATGAAAAAAAAAGCCATCAGAAAAAAAATAACAACTAAATTTTCTAAGGGTCAGAAGACAAAAGTCTGTGTTTTTAACCAGTTTATAAGAACAGCAGTAGATAATTAATAAAGTATCTTTAAAACAATAAAATTAGAGACAATAGTGTTCATAGAAGAAAGACTTTGAAAATCAATTACACCAAAAAAGAATTGAACCACTTTCAGAAAGTTTCAGACTTACTTCCTTGAAGTCAATTAACTGATGACACAGAATTATAACTTCAAATACAGCTAAAGAAGAACAGATGAATTTCCTACTTCACCAGAAAGATATTGTTTCCATATAATGTTGGTACTTATAAAAGCGGAAAAGTAAACACCCAAGAAGATAACCACAAAAAGCTTCAAGTTGAAAAAGAGAATTTCCCACAGAATTCTAAGCCTTTCATGTTTTAGTTACTTTAAGAAATTCCTCTTACATTTTTGTCACTTACATGGCATCCTCAAAAAAAGAATATTTTTCCCATAATTTGAAGAGGTACAATTTTGCATGGAGTTACTAGTATAAAGTATTATATAAAAATGTTTATATTTAGTAATAGTAATTATCATCTTCAATAAAACACAAAACATCTGAACTATAATAAAAAGCTTATATTTTATTATTATAGACCTTTAATCAGTACCTCACTATAGACTGCATGAACCATATAACAATTCAATGAGAACACTTAATAATACTTGGTTAATAATCTAGTTAGCCCATAGAGGCTATTTTAAAATCATAACTATTCTAACAAAGCCCAATAACTTAGATACTAGAAACCTGCTGCTTTCCTTTGCTAAGCATTAAAAGCAAATACTGAACTCCATGGAGCAACGTGTATACGTCTGCCATCTATTACAGCGTGAAGCACCAGGCCTTGCGAGGCCTAAGGCTATTGATTGGCCTTATTTCTGAGCTGGTCTGCCTAACTGACTTCGTGGCTGTACTTTAACGTGAATCACAAAATTGAGCAAATACCTCCACCTAGTGGAATTATTCCTTAACAGAAAATGCACCTCAGGCTTTGTTTTACAACAGTGAGATAAATTTGTGTATGGATTTTGTAATATACATTCATTACAAAAAGCAAGTTTGTAGCAAGGACTCAGCTCAGCAGTACTGTGGGACTCTTCCATGAGAGTCTAAGTTCCTTGAGGTTGATAAAATCTTGCTGTATTCATTTTGTATACTGAGCAAATTCTCCCGTGTGCCTTATCTAGATTACACGAAACCATCTGAATAGTTCCACAATCAGCAATGCCAATCTATATTGCAACAAATGAGCAAAGTTTATAGAGAAAACAAGCAGGAAACCAACCTTGGTTGTTTCATCTGTAATTTTCATACTTTAATTAACTGCTGGAATCAATGACCATTGCTCCACTAAGATACAGTGTTGCTTACATCTCTAGAAGCTGTTAGTTAAGAGTAAAACTGACCCACAGAGAGCACTATGCCTAAGATTAGCCCAGAAATCTGAGGTTTGCAGGAATTTGATTTAAAATGATATCTTGACTTGCAATCTAATATAACTTTTTTCCCAACTTCACAACTTACGTCTTCAAGTGCTACAGAGAAAGTCTCATCTAATGCTAAATATCACCTCTTAACAGTTAAAGCTCCCAGTATCCAAGAGAAGTTTCCCCCAACTATAAGGCGGGTACACCTGAGTAAGAAAATAAAATCAGAAGGCCCTTTTGAAAGTTTGTTTTTAAAAACTGCACAACCTTTCTGCACCAGAATGCAGAAACATAAAATCTATGACAAATAGAAAGCTAAGGGCTATGCACCCACCTCACAATTACAGATACTACTAATTTCATTTTCTCTTTCCTTCTTTATAAAAGTAACATGACTACTGTAGAAAAAGTCATGACATAATAGGATAAATATATCATCTGTATGATACATCACTCGTGGTATTACCAATCAGAGATAATCACTGACATCCTTGGGTACAGTCAATCAGCCTCTGCTCATGACATGTGATTGGGTATGTTCGATCTCTTCAAACACGAATAAAACCATGTTTTCCTTTCGTTTGTGGTACTGGCGACTGAACATGGGACATCACACATGCTAGAGAATTGCTCTACCACTGAGCTACATCCTCAGCCCACAAGCAGAATCATGCTGTGCTAGACTCTCATGGCCTACTTCTTTGATATTTAATTACACATCTTGGGCACCTTT